TTAAAACATGTAAACACTTTTCCTCTAAAATTATTTATGACAGAAACTAAATTTTTTTATCAAATAAACAAATTAGTAAAAAAATCCTATTTTCATCGAAAAAGTAATAAACAAGTGTAGAGTAATTCGATTAAAAAAGAAGTAAGAAATAGAAATTATAAAAATATGTATATATATTATACTTTTTTTGTTAGTAATTTTTTAACTTATAAGCTGGCTGCTTTTTTTTTTTTGACAAGGTAATAATTAACTGGAATTTCTATTAATGATTAATCTGACCATATATCTTCCTCTATGTTCTTGACACCCCATCTTTAAACTGTAGTATATATCAAATTTATAGGAAAAAAATCTTACAATAAAAATAAAAAATGATAATGACAGATAATATTAACAAAAACTTTAGATAGAAAATTTAGATATATATTCAATTTTCTTTTGGTAAAAAAAATATTCCACTTCAAGTACACAAATTTCAATTTTAAATTCAATTAGAGAAGACTCAAAAGAAAATAACAATCCAAATACACACACATATATTATTCATCAATAAAAATACGTATTCTCTATAACGTATGGGTCGCTAGAACCGCACAGTTTAGTCCGACTAATAGCAATACTTAAATTTTTTTGTACCATTTTTTTCAATGGCACAGATAATTATATTTGAGTTTAATTGGTTGTAGTAAGTCCGGTACATTGTCAACTTTAATAGTTGGGCTTCTCTTTGACATCCCTTTTTGGAACCATGGAAAATAACTTCTTGGATTTAAATATGCTCTGTAGATGTATTCTTGATTTCCCGATTGAAGCTCCCATGCCATATAAATGATTGGGTGATGGTAATTACTAAATTGGCATTAAAATTTACAATTTCCATGGAACAAACAGTTTAGGGATGGCAAGATTTTCAGATATACGAGGGAAAAGAAAAACAAGTTTCTAGAATTACTTATTATAAATTAAGAATCATAGATACATGAAACTTAATAAAGATCCACATGAGCAAACATAATCCAATTTTATGCCCAAAAAACCGAAAAAAACACACATGAAGACGATCTACAATATAATTTTCTTCCCATCGTACATAGTATTTAAAGATGATTCTTTCAGTAGGAACTGAATCTTGAACATTTCAAGATCCATTATACCACCAAAATCAAATCAATAGAACTCGAAAAACACGAGCCTGATGCCGATATATGACTTGCCGTTTTGCCATTACCATAAAACCAAGTTTCTTTTTGTCTCCTCGCTTCTCATGGCCAAGCTAAACAAACTGTTGGGGAGAGTTATCAAACTGAGGTTCCTCTGTCTCTTCCTTGAATGGCTTTGTCTGCATTTTTTCTGCCGGTTTCATTCCCTTGGAGATTTTTTTTTTTATGAATTAAGGTTTTGAATATAGAGATTTGTGGGTGAAATCTCGTTCCAAAGAAGCTAATATATATATATAGAGAGATGTGTAGATTGATGGAGGCTGATTTTATTTTTGAAGGTGGAGGAGATAACTATTAGATAATAATATCACATTTTATGATTGGTCCTAGTCATAGTTCAACTCAAAGTTTCCCACTTTCTTCCTTTCTTTAAAAAAAGTATTCAGTTTAGCCCTTAAAAGTCTGGTGCTGCATCATCGCATTCGTGGGAAATAAAGGTGCTAGATTCTCATGTTTGTTTGGAATGACAGTTTTGCCCTTTCCGATAGTATCTGAAAAATGTAAGTGTAGCTATGTAATAAGTGTCAAAATGAGTTTTAGACTTTTAGTAAATGGATTATACGCAAAGCCGATTATAGCAAAATGGTTGGTTCCGCATGTTTTTGTTTTGTATAAGTCCTGCATAAGCAATTGCTTCTGTAAAGGAAACTTTTTTTTTTGTCAAAGTAGAGGAAACATTAAAATCATCAATATATACTCTTAACAAAAAAAAAGAAAAAAAAAAGAAGAAGAATACATTTGTTTTTAGAAACTTATTTAGCAGAAGAAAGGAACATTTTAGAAATTTCTACTGCAAGAACAAAAGCTCACTCCACAATTAGTGCATGCTACGTTGTTGTTTCTTTATGCAATTGTGCGTTCCTTGTATGTTTCCACTTTTTTTTTTTGTCATGCACTCTGGTTATTTATTTATTTTCCAATAGCTTTTTCAGTATATCATATTATTGCTATATAAATAGTTTTTAAAATTCCAAAAATGAATGAAAAAATATTACAAAGAAAAAAATTCAAAGTCAATGATATTGAAATGGAAATTTGATGATAGTTATGTATCGTTTAAATTATAAATGATGTGTAATGTATACAATAGTTTCTTTTTTTTTGTTAAAGGGCTTATATATGGGTGAATACATCCTTTAAAATAAAAAATTGTGAAATGACTTCTGAAACGATAGTTTCAACACTTTCGTTTTCGTTAACAAACAAAATTTGTGAAAGGACTTGCGTTTAATATTACTCTTAAAATTTCGCTGGACTTATTATTTTGGGCCTTGACCTTTCTAGTTATTGCTTTATAGATTTCAAAAACACAGTTGCTCGCATTATAGCTGAATACACAACGCTTTAATTTTGGGAAACTTTTTATTACCTATTCTTTTTTTTTCTTTTTTTTTTTAGCCATTGCGTATCTGTTGTTCTTTTCTCGGAAAATGTTATATTATGTATACTATAAAGTCTACAATCTAAACTAAGAACTAAAACAATGAAGCTAAAGAAAAAGTAAGAAAAAAATATGCAAAAAATGTTTTTGTTGCACGTTGTAAAAGAAAAGGTAATTTACCTTAAAAAACAAGACAAATAGAAATTTTGTGAATATAATTCTTCTACATTTTGGTCAGATTTTTTTCTTTTCTTTCACGTCGCTATTACTGATTCTTTAACGGATAACTTTGCATTATCCAAACATGAACTAGTATTGAAGTTGGGTAAACCACGTGTCTAGCAACACATACCAAGTGTCGATGCATTTGAATATCTTCGCTTCACCCATTAATATACTAATCAATTTGTTTCCAGGATCCAACGATAGTATTCATTTTAATTTCTTTCTTGCATTATATTTAAAATGCGCAATTAACTAACTTAATACATTCAAATTTTGAAGGATAAGACTAAATTAAGGAGTATCGGCTCTTCCAAGTACAACGCACCGGGATCACCAAGTTATGGGATCGCTAACCATGTGGAGTCCAATAATTAGCAACTTTTCAATGATTTTTCAAATATTTTTTTCCTTATTAAATGTAAAACGAAGGTTAGAAAAATGAAGGTAACGCAACCTTCAACCAATTGATTGTAATGATGATATAGGATTTGTTCAGTCAACAAGGTAATACACAAAACTAGTACTTAACAAGCACTAACCCCAATCACTTTACATTTTTTCCTTTTTTGAAAATTCATATCTTTTTTAAAGTTGATGAGACTATTCTTTTTTTGACGTCGTTTTGGTGGGACTTTTCTTCTTTTGATGTCGTTTTGATAAATAATAAAGATTCTCACTTATCATATATGATGAGTTGGATGGGATTAGTAAATCATTTGGAACCTATATTTAAAATGTCTTATTCCAATCAGGTTTACGTACGAGTGATCTTCAAAACTAATAAATCTGAGTTTCTTCAACTAAAGCCTCACATATAGCAATTGCTTTGTATGTACATCCTTATCCACTCGCGAGAAAAACCTTTTTTTATATAACAAGAATAGTTTGCGGCATAATTTCTTAATTTTTGTAAGCATATACTATAATAAGATTCCGTAAATAGGATCTTTTGATCCCTGTTTTGTTGATGTTATATACTATAATGTGGTGTAAGTGTATAACCCGACAAATGGGTATAGTCTGGTTATTGGTCATATTCAAAGTAAAGCGTTGTGTACAATCACGTTACTAAGAGAAACAAATAATATATTTAATAATTATAAGACACAAAATAAATTAAGAAAACCCACAAGAAATTGATTATGCAACTAAATAAAAATATTATAGTATTGCACAATAATAGTGATTTAGCCGAACAAATATTAGCAAAATAAACTCGAAAACTTCCAAAATCTTGGAAATTTTGATGCAATATGAGAACTAAAACTTTTTGGCGTATTCTTTTCTCGGATTCCACTTGCGTCGGTGGCTGTCACTGATCTTCGAATGATGATTGATGTATATTAAAATAGTACAAGAAAATTCTTACCGAAAATAAATATAAAATATTACCGACGTAGTTGCATATATTTTTGTGCACACAGTTAAATAAAATACTTGGTAGATCAAACGTGAATATGAAACATATCAATCAGTTTAAATTATTTCATATAATTTTTTATAATTATTTTGGAAAAGGATAGTTCTAAGAAAAACTAATCAAATTTATTTGATATCCAAGAAAATTCAAGTAGAGCAAAGTCAAATGAAAAATACAATTTGAAAATTCTTCTTCAGTTCCTATATTTTTTTGAATGAATTGGGGGGAAAAAATTGCCACCAGGTTGAATTTTGAATGTATAATAAAATAAATTTTCTTTGGTATGTGGGATATATATAACATGACATTTCATTGCATGATATAAGTGAAGAAATTCACTAACCATGTCCAATTATGAGAATGATCAAAACAATAAATGCGTGCATGTACATACTACATATTTTGAACATCCTAAGTGGCGGAGACAATTTGCGATAAAAGGAAGAGAGGTTTTTGCATTCATTCAATTTTCCAACCATTTAGAAAAGAACAAAAAAGATTCTTTTAGTTTTTAGGCAAAGAAGAAAGATTCCTTTTCTTTTGTAGAGTTAAAAAAATAGATGGAGATAAAAGTAAACAAAAAAGGTAGATAAAGTGTAAAACTTTTGATCTGTGAACCACATTGTTAGGGTTGTTAATATCATCTCAAACTTCCAAGGAAAAAAAAGAAGCTATTTTGAGAAAGAATTATGATCAACAAAAATCACGAGTATGAATGCATAAATAATCAGATCAAGAAACTCATAAATTTTTAAAATGAATAAAAGCTTAATTAAAATCATATACATCAATTATACTGAAAACAAAGGGAGATAAAGATGTACATAAACATGAAACAACACTTCCTATTCACTAACCTTGATTAGTGTCCTAACATTAATACAACTGAGAAACAAATAGAGTAAATTTAGTTAAGTTCAGAATCCAAGACTGAAGTACTAAACCAGATTCGAGAATTAAGACTAAACGAAGAAAACTAATTATAGAAATAAAAGATTATTCTATAATTTGAAACCTTAAAGAAGGTTAGAAAGAGAAAGAGAGGGCTCAGAGTTGTGAAAACAGAGTTAATAACTAGCTCTCTGAATGAAAACGGTTTCGAGGTCCGGCGGAGAGAAGAAATCTCTTGCGGAGACGCCGTAACTGCACTTCAACGACGGCTTTCGCTTCTTTGGCGCCGCTGGACACGGCGGGACCCTTGGAATTCTGACGGAAACCGCCGTAGGGGTCGTCGGACACTGATCTTGCTCCTCTGTTTCGGTAACTGTGACGCCGGAAGAAAGGTTAATCTGCTTGAGCGGCGAACGTGAGGGAATGCCGGCGATGACCCATTTTTTACCGTCGGTGGTTTCTCGTATCTCGCCGTCGAGTTGGTGGTGAGGTTTGCCGGAATATCCCATGACTTATCTCGAATGTTAACGAAGAGAAAACAGGGGAAGTGAAAAAACAGAGGAGTTTTGTTGTTGGTGATGGAGATGAAAGAATCAAAGGTTTGCTTTAGGTTTTTGGGATTGATGTGTGGGGAACGAATGAGACGTTTTGTTCTCTCTCTCTATTGAAAGAAATTTACTTTTATTTCTTTTTGGCTAACTTTGGTGGCGAGCGAATGTGAAGTGAATGGGACATTTTTTCTCAGAGGACGGTTTTATAGTCAACAGAGTATTAATTACGTTAGATCGGTGTCGATTCAGTTTGGTAATTTTCTTTCCTCTTCTTCTGATTTCTGAATAAATTATTAGTATAAGGTTTTTTTTTTAAATTTCAAATTTAATTATTGGACCAAAGAAATAAAATTATAGAAAGACAGTGAGATAGAGTTGTACGTTTTTAAAAAATACTCATATTTATTCGTTACTGATGCCTGAGGCCGAGGGGCAGACTGGAGGGAATAAAGGAGCATGAGAGAAGTAGCAACGATTCCTAAATTTCAAAATTTAAATTTATAGGTCATTTTTATTTTATCTTAGATCATGCAGCCTGCAGCTAAATTTAATTGCATTTTAGGTTTTTTTTTTTTATTCTTACAGTGAAACCAAATCGTTTGAATCTTATAAACTAGTATGAGTATGATCAAAGTGAATAGTGTCTTCAAAACAAAATTACAAAATACATGAACTCGATTCTTATAGGATTGAGGTTAAGACCTAATTTTGATATGTTTGAAAAGATAAATCAAGGATTATATAGAGATCATAGGAAACTTTTTAATGCTTGGATTCATTAACAAACATTCTCTCAGTGTTGCTTTCAAGTTTCAACTATGTTAATTATAATTATGGAGTACAAGGGTCATTAACAAACGTGGAAAACATTATCTTAACCGGTGAAGTGTACGTATCTCGATAAATTATGTGGCCAAATCCACCAAAAACTCATCTATGTGATGTTTTATGTATCTAAAAATGATATTATATATAGTATTAAAAGTTGATATACGTATTGTTAACTCATGTGGACAATTGTAAAACGACATAGTCTCTGAAAACGAAATGGAGTATATCTAATCTGATTGAGATAATAGTTGATATGAAAAGAGAGAGCCCGTGAACAGACGAACAAAATGAGAAAATACAAAAATGAGTTTTAAATGAGAATAGGGAACCCGAGGAAACGCGTGACCTAAGCTACGTAAATTTAAATTACTCTCGTTTTTCTATTCATACTTCATACTTCAGAGGGTGTTTTTATTTGTTTATACATATATATTTAATAGGACTAGTATTTGTATTAGCTTCCTATATAGGAGTATTAAATAAAGAGATAAAAATACCCTTTAGATGCAAGTAATAAATGGAGTAACGAGATGGAAAGAGTCGTTGAGATTCCCACTTCAATTGGCGGTCCTATTTTTGACTTTCTAATTATCACCGGTCAACATATTTTCGAGAGATTCCATCGTCGATGCTCAAATTTCTGCACCCTGTGAAAACATTTATAGAGGTTTTTGGTCGGTGTTTGCCGCCAACGACAAATATGTGATTTCTTGGTTTCTTCAACATTAAACTCGTGTTTGCCTCTCATCTAGCTAGAATGACTTTTTTTTAGTAGTCTTCTGAATTCCACTTTCCCTAAACCATTATCTATGTGCACACAAATAAATTATGGTGTGATATCATTTTGGTAACGTTACTAAGTATTTTTTAGAAATTCATACAGCCAATGCTATAATCCTAAAAACACTAATTATTTTATTTAAATAATTAAATATTTCTACGTTATGTAAACTTATGGGTTATTCTGATTTGTTAGATCTAATATTAATGGATATATATATTTTTTTTGGGCAAAGTAATGGATATTACTACTTATTGTAGCAGCCTTTTGTTTACCAGTGGAATTACTTAAGTTAAGAAAAGTATTGTTAGCTTGAAACTTCTACATTCTAATGTTTTTTAGTTTCAAATTTCAACTAACACATCATCTTTCCACATAGTAGGCGCGTCTACCTTCCCATGTTTGTCCTCTTAAACCGGAAACTAACCGAATCTCCCTATCGACATTCTAGCTAAACCGAGACAAACCTTTGATTTCTGTTTACATTGAAACGTACAGCCGTACAGGTTGGGGCAATCCTGAACCGACTGCTATTCGTTTCGGTAATCAGACAAATTAAACTTGAACTGATGGTTAGCTACTTAGCCCAATCAAACCGAAACTATCCAACATCTTCATAACGTGTCTCATTTGACAGATAGGGGCATTTACGTCATTGCCTAGTCTCCGCCAAATGTCAAATTTGTTTTATAAAAGAAAAAATTCGGTATTTTTAATTTGAAGATATCCGCCGGAAAATTCGTAAATTTGACCCTTCGTCTTCGGAAATGGCGGCTATTTCTCCGGCGAATGCAACCACCGCTGCTTCACTCTCCCTGCCTCAATTTAGCTCTACTTCATCCTCGCTGTCTTCTTCTTCGTCTCCATCTTTTCTTAATTTCAAAACTGCCACAGTCAGTAATCGCTGCGTGAAGTGCGGAGTCAGAAGCTTAGAGAACCCGTCGGGTCATCGGAGCCTCGATTTTTTGTCCAATGGAGATCCAATCAGCCTAATTAATCCGAATTCATCGTCTCCTATAACCATGGCTGCGTCGGCATCGGAATCCGGTCCGAAGTCCTCTAAGCGCGTCTGTCTCTTCCACAGCGACGAGACTAGAGATCTCGCCGAGAGAATCGTCGCAAAATCTGATTGCATTGAGCTACGAAGCATCAATTGGAAGTAAAAACCCATCAATCTCTCTATCAATTTGTTGACTTTCTTTAACATTCCCCTTTTTTGTTTTTTTGTTTTGCTGGTGATGATCCTCAGTGAAAATGAAGAGTGCTTTCAAATTATTCTCTTGATTGATTTTAGATTAGTGGGTTTAAATTTAGAAATTTGATGTCTTTTGCTTAAAAATTTGAACTTTCAAATGAGTTTCGTTGTGTTTTTTGGGGTTTTTGGTCAATGCTCTAATTCTGGTGTTCAAATTCGAGACTTTGAGATGAGATAGCTTTGTAAATCACCGTAAGGAGTTTTGCATTTAGGCTTTTAAGATGATTCAAATTGGGTTTGTTTGATGTGTATAAGTAATGGTTGGAAGAGGCTTAGGTTCTTGATCACAATGTAATTACAACTGTTGTTCTTGTTTTTAGGAAATTTGACGATGGATTCCCTAATTTGTTCATACAAAATGCTCAAGGCATTCGTGGGCAGCACGTTGCTTTCTTGGCTTCATTCAGTTCACCCGCTGTGATCTTCGAGCAGCTCTCGGTTATTTATGCTCTGCCCAAGCTTTTCGTTTCTTCATTTACACTTGTTCTTCCGTTCTTCCCTACTGGAACTTCTGAGAGAATGGAAGACGAAGGAGATGTGGCCACTGCTTTCACTCTCGCTAGGATACTCTCAAATATACCGACTTCGAGAGGAGGACCGACTAGCTTAGTGACCTTCGATATACATGCCTTGCAGGTCTTTATCTACAACCCTAAGTCATCTCTCTTTTTCTTCTCAGAGTCGATGGCTTATCTAGTTTTTGCCTTGTCTTCGTTTGGATTGTAGGAAAGATTCTACTTTGGTGATACTATACTTCCATGCTTTGAAAGTGGTATACCATTGCTCAAGAGCAGACTCCAGAGTCTACCTGATTCTGAAAATGTAAGTCTCTTTCCCTCTGGTTGTCATTTTTCTATCAGTTCTATCATGTAGAGTAGATATCAACAACATTCAATTCATTTTGGTTACTGTTCTTCATTTGCTTCAGATATCTATTGCATTCCCAGATGATGGAGCATGGAAGCGTTTCCACAAACAACTCCAACATTATCCAACGGTACTATATTTTCTCATACCTAGACCATATCGCCTTTGCGCATCCTTTTAGCATCTTACAGCGATCCCATGTGGACCGTTTTAGGATTTAGCAAGCTGGGTTTAGATTCAGGAGCTTGTTCTTCAAGCTTACATTAGATCTAACTCCAGAATAAGCATTGCAGCATCCAATCTTGGACAGCAAATCTGTACATTAACCTTTGACTTACCAAGTAATCCTACTTGTCGTTCAGATTGTTTGCAACAAAGTAAGAATGGGAGACAAACGAATAGTGCGTATCAAAGAAGGAGACGCCGAAGGAAGGCATGTTGTGATTGTTGATGATTTGGTTCAGTCGGGTGGCACACTAATCGAATGCCAGGTTCTGTACTCAGATTCAACTCTCAAAATTGTAACTCTGTACTCATTTCTTCATAACTAACCACTAATTCTTGTTCCATTCAGAAAGTCTTAGCTGCACATGGAGCAGCGAAAATAAGCGCATATGTAACACACGGGATCTTCCCCAAGAGTTCATGGAAACGTTTCAAGCTTGACACCAAAGGTTACTACAACCATTATACAAATGTTTTGAATCACTCTTAATAGAGTCATGACCGTTTCTTGCGACATAGTTAAAATCTTGGTTTTCTTTTCTTTCCGTGATGCAGGTGATCCCGCGGAAGGTCTGAGCTATTTCTGGATCACAGACTCGTGTGGAATGACTGTGAAAGAGGTGATGAATAAACCTCCTTTTGAAGTTCTTAGCCTGGCTGGCTCCATAGCTTCTGCTCTTCAAGTTTAAGCTTCTGTGATTCGATTAGAAATCCAGCCGCAAGTAATTTTTAGGTTTGAACAAATCTTATTTATGAACTTTGGTGTATAGTCCTCGATCGAAGCATTTTCCATTGAAGAGGTTGTTTGTTATTAATGTTATTTAGGAAAATCCAATAATGTAATAATGTTTCTTCTGTCAAAGAAAAAAAAATGTTTCATTTCACTTCTTTTTGTACTTGATACTTGGTACTTGGTAGACAGAAAATTCCTTTGGAAAAATAAAGTTTCATTTTAAGTTCGTCCTAAATATTTCTAATTGGAATAAAAATTTGCATTAACTAGTGATTATCAATTATCATGAACTTATATAATTATCGCAGCTTTAGGAATTCACAGCCCAAAAATTTAGAAATCCACAGCCCAAAAAAAAACCCATAGCTTTAGAAGTTCTCAACACTACAATTTTGGTGTAACTTTAAATTTGCTTTGTAAAGTTTGATTGATACAATTCTTAGGAGCATTTAGTGGCTATGGAAAGAATATACAGCCTTCTCCAATCACGCTCTATCTAAATCTTTGCATATTAATATTTCAACATGTGTTCTATTTATTTATCAGAAAAGCTAATTTTATTTTTGACTCAATTAGTGATAGTTGAATTTCTTCTTTTTTTTATCCAATAGAAATAAACATTCACAGATTCACTAATAATTAATTACTCATAATAGTAACTGAATTACTTAATAGAGGTATTGGAATATTGACCGAGATATTTGAATATTAAAAATCTTGAAAATCATGAGAGACTAATGTCTTTCCTAAGAAAATTTTCTCTTTAGTCTTTATATTTGTATATTTGATTGAGTTTTGTGTGTAAAAACTACAACAACTCAATAAGACAACAAAAATTAAAACACATCTCTTTGAGGCAGCCAAAACCATGAAATCATCACATATAACTCTAATCTGCATAGTCATGCTTTCTCTCTTCTCTCTACATGAGTGTAAGTATAAACTTTTCTTATAATATATATATATGTACACACACATATTGCTTTGTGCTTCATTCTCAAAGTTTGGTTTGTGTTTAAAATCACATGGATCATGTAGGTGTGAGCAAGGAGGTTAGAGAGATTGAAGGACTGAGCTCTCAAAAGGCTAATGAAGCGTGTGTCCCTGGCCCATGCCATGCTTTGGTACCTCATTGTTGGTGCTGCGAACATTTACGGGGTATAAGGCCGCAATTCTGTTGGTCAGGCAACACTGGTCGCGACTATTGCAACCAGCAATGTAACTTATAAATTTAAAATCTTGATAAAATAAAATCGTGCTGCTGCTTATTCTCAATTTTCAAACTTCTCTATGCAGTCAGTCTTATAATGCTTGCTTGTACTAGCTAGTTTTCTTTATCTAAGTCTTTAAATATTAATATTTTAACATGTATTCTTTTTAATTATCAGAAAACTAATTTTATTTTTGATTCAATAAATGATAGTTGAATAGTTTTATTTTTGATCCAATAAATGATAGTTGGAACATTCACAAATAATTAAAAATTAATCAAAATAATTTGATTAAAGAAATAAATTAGAACCACTATTTAGACTATTTACCAATTCAAACTTGAACCAAATTTTAATACCTTGAACAGAAGAAGACATTGATATTAATTGGGCTTGAATCTTTGGGCCCAAAATGACTTCTTTTTATTTTAATCTGGGCAGAGAGCGACTATGTAAATAAATATAAATTCCGTACAGCACGCTTTTCAAATTTTTCATTCAGCAACAGAAAAGTAAACAAAAAAAGAAAAAAGAAATTTCGAAACGGAGAAAAATATCTGAAGGAAGATGGCGGGATCTCTAACAGCATCAACCCGCCGTGGAAACACGGAGGCTTCTTCAGAAATTTCCCGGTGGATGATAGGTTTTGCTCGGTTTGTTCACTATCCATCTACTCTTTCTCAGTGTCCAGGTCTGAGACCTCTCGGAAAGAGAGAGCAGTATCATTCGCCCCACGGAACCTGGTTGTCGGCGTCTTCTTCGACGCTGTCTCTCCAGATGTTCGACGAAGTCAACAGATCCGATGTGATTCTCTCCGTCAAACTCGGCGAGAAAGTCCTTGTGAGTTGATTTTTGCTCTCTATATATATAGTTCTATAAATCGGATGTTTAGGTTGGTGTTTCGCGATGGTTTAAGCTTAATCAAATTTTGAAATCGGGATCTATCAATGTTTGATTTAGCTTCATGGTGTTTTATTGTTCATCGAATGATTCAATTTCTACAGGAAGAACACTACATTTCAAAGCTGAATTTCACATGGCCTCAGATGTCATGCGTTTCTGGGTTTCCGTCTCGTGGTAGTCGTGCGATTTTCGTTACTTATACGGATTCTGCAAACAAGGCAAGCTCTTAACACTTTCAATCTCTTTTGGATTTTCTGGAATTTAAGAGATAAATAAGCTTACTAGTGTAACCTAAGGAGAATTTGATGACTATTCATGAGTTAGTAGATACTTCAGATTTGAGATTGAGATCATGTGGTTTTATTGTGCTTGTTGTTCTTCTCCAGATCCAGAAATTTGCTTTAAGGTTTTCCACATGTGATGCAGCGTTGGACTTTGTGGAAGCTCTTAAGGTTAGCCATTACTGCAAAGAGCTTCTTGATATGTTGATCAGATGGAGATGATGTTTCATTAACCTTGACTTCAGTTTATAAGCTATTTTCTTCGAATCTGAGCCAATGATTCCTGTTTTGTTCTGTTTGCAGGAGAAGTTTAAGGGTTTAGAGGAAGCTCGGAACCAGAGAAATGAAACTAGGTGTGAGGTTTCTTTCCGGTCAGATTACAACCCTTCAAATGCGATCATCCCCAGGTTAGATCACACTACAGTGTTGTGAATTTGTACAAGTTCTTTAGCCAACAGTTTCGATATTGTAAATTCCTCTTTGCAGAGCCACTCAGAAAGAGCCAAATATGGTTAAACCTATTAATACTTATGTTCCTGAAATGCAACCAAGAATTGAGTATGAAGCTCAGAACCAGAAAAGTGAAACTAGGTCCGGGGTTTCTTTCCAGTCAGATAACAACCCTTCAAATGAGTTTTTCCCCAGGTTAGATCACATTTTCAGATCACATTTTCAGTGTTGTGGATTTATACAAGTGCTTGAGCCAACAATTTAGATAAGGTAAAATTCTTCTCTGCAGAGCCATTGAAGAAGAGCCAAATATGGTTAGATTTTTTGATAGTTATGTTCCTGAAGTGGTACCAAGACCTGAGTATGAAACTGGACGAGCCTTATACCCATCACAATCCACGCTAAATCAAATCCCGAATCTCCCTCCGAGTTTCACCACCTTACTCTCTGGTTGCTTCCCCGACTCCACTCTAGGTACATTTTTCATTGATCTTGCTTGTTCGAAGTTTGAGACATATCATCTCTTTCACAAAGTTTTAACACATTTCCTCTCTATGAAACCTACTATAGATGCAGGCCAAACAACTGTGAAGCAGGATCCTGATCTAAAGTCACAGATACTGGTACAATATATACAAACCCGAATTTCTTTCCTCTTTTAACACATCAACACAATGCTAATGATATCTTATGATTTGGGATTCCAACTTTTTGTTTTTGCAGAAGTACATGGAAGATTCTTCATTTCAAGGTGAGCATTCTCTCAACTACTCACACACAGACAATATTAACCGTCTTTCTAACAATTGGTTTTCTGCTCATTATCCAGATATGCTGCAGAAAGTAGAGAGAATTATCGACGAAATTGGAGGTAACTGGATTATCTGAGATTCATCATAAATATATATGTTTTACTAGATATCGATCTTATTTTCCATTTTTAGTCTTTTGTAAGGACCAACCAACATTGGTGGAGGACACATGTAGTTTTTTTTCTTTGTTTTGTTCAACTGAGGACAAATGTATTAATTTGCTTTATTTTCGTCCAAAAAAAGCAATCAGCCAAGAAGATCTTTGATTTGCCTTGAGTCGTCCACAATTACTAATATATTATACGACGATTTTCTTAGATTTTGCTATATTACATTTCCTTTTCATTTTTGATAAAAATGATTAAAGATTTCGACACATGGGTGATTATTTAAGCTGCATGCAAGGATCGTGAATAGGGAAGGGAAGAATGAGACCATAATTTTTGAAGTCACTATGGTTACGGAAATTAAATTCAAGAACTTCCTGTTTTGATTTTAGAGAATAAATTTTAGAAATTGCAATCCGTAAATCAACAGAAATTTTGAAATTATATTCTCTCGAATTTATGCCTTTCCTTAATTAAAATTTCTCTTTTTCCATATATATAGTATATTGAGTAAGTTTTGTATTGCAAACTAGGACAATTCTACAAAACAAGAATAAATCATAACACGGTCCTTTGAAACAGCCAAAACATGAAATCATCACATATAGCTATAATCTGCATAGTCATGCTCTCTTTCTTCAACATGCATGAGTGTAAGTATAATTGTTTCTCACGTATATAAGACACATATATCAAATGTCTCTTTGTTTTTTTTTTTCTATAGTAAGAATTTGGTTTATGTGTTTGAAATCGATGTGCAGGTAGCACGATAGGGAGATCGAGCAAAATCTATGTACCATTGTGTTTCCACGACAATTGCGTCCTGCCATTTAAAAATGATTGTTGGTGTTGTCTCGCAGCTGGAACTAAAAAAGATTGGTGTTGGGAAGAAAAAGATTATCCGGACGCCAAAGAACTTTGCATGAAAACATGTACAAGAAAGATTTGAGGGCCGGGGATGTATTGGAGTAAGAATTTTAATTTGATTCGTGGTTTTTTTAGATTAGGTGGGATTTTAATAAATTTCAAAGGTGTTTTAAACTTTTAATTAACGTTGCTTTATTTTCGTCCAATAAAGCAATTAGCCGAAAGATCTTTGATTTCCCTTTTGCATACAATAATTTATTATAATCTTTTAATAACGAGATACTTCTATTACAATATCTAGAATTTTGTATTCCAATATGTATTCTCTATAGTTAATTATCTAGACGAGTTTAAGAAGGTGATTAGATTCTACAATATTTTTTGAAAACTATATAAATTTATAACCTTATTTTGGGTTTGACCATGATAAATAAGTGTTGGATCATTCAATAATTATTAAACACACTCAAAATAAAATTTAATACATTAACAAAAAATAGTTTCAATAATAATTATGAATTACTTTACAGAGAACGTTGGAAAATTGACCAAGATATTTGAAAATTTATCAAAATCCTGAAATTCAACCAAAAAAAAATATTCTTGAAGGTTTGTCTGGTTTTTTTTTCTTAAAGAAAATTAAGGTGTTTCCTAATTAAATTTTCTCTGCTTCTTTATTTATAAAATATTTTGTATTTACACATTAGAACAACTCGAGAAGCAACAAACCTCACAACACAGTTGTTTGAGTCACCCAAACCATGAAATCATCACATAAAACATTAATTTGCATAATCATGCTCTTCCTCTTTGCTCTGCATGCATGTACGTATAATTTGTTTGTTCTCATATATACAAAAACAAGAACAAGAAACCTCAAAACTATCACGATCCATTTCTTGTTTACGACCACAATTTCTTGATTATGTCTCGAGTCTTGTTTATTCTACATTCAAATTTGTATTTTCCGTAGATTCTAAACGAATCGGTTAATTTTTGTTCAAACATGCATATACGTATATCAATTGCCTTTTCTCCTTTACCTTTCCATTGTCAAATTTGGTTTGTGTGTGTTCAAATCAATGTGTAGGTGGCAAGATGGAGGTGAAAGAGATAAGGAGATCGAGCAAGATCTATTTACCACCGTGTATCCATGAGACTTGCACCGCTTTCTCAGGGGAAAAAAATTGTTGGTGCTGCTTCCAACTTAAACATAAAAGAGATCGTTGTTGGAAAGAGAATGAATATCCCAACGCTAAGGAGCTTTGCTTCGAGCAATGTTCAAAGCAGATTTAAAAACGTTTGATAAATCTAATATTGTATGTTGCTTATTTGATTTGTCCAAAAAAAATAATTAAAAAAAGTATGTTGCTTATTTGATTTCAGGCTTTTCCAAAGCTTTTATATTCAATACCAATGCGTTTTTTTTAATGATATGTATTTCGATAAATAATAGTTTAATCATTCAATAATAAGTCAGCACACTCGAAATAAAATTTAATACATTTAACCAAAAATAGTTTCAATAATAATTATGAATTACTTAACCGAGACGTTGAAAATTGACCAAAATATTTGAAAATGGATATAAATCCCGAAGTTAAAGAATTATCTTGTTATTTCCTTAAAGAAAATTAAGGTGTTCCTAATTCAATTTTCTCTACTTCTTTATATATCAAAAGTTTTGTATTTACATACATTATCATATATACAACAACTCGAGAAGACAATAAAACTCACAACACAATTGTTTAAACCATGAAATCATCACATACAACTTTAATCTGCATAATCATGCTCTCCCTCTTTGCTCTGCATGAATGTACGTATAATTTGTTTGTTCTCGTATCAATTACTTTTTTTTTCTTTATCTTTTGCATTGTCAAATTTGGTTTGTGTATGTTCAAATCAATGTGTAGGTGGCAAGATGGAGATGAAAGAGATAGAGAGATCGAGCAAAATCTATATACCACCGTGTATCCATGAGACTTGCAGTGGTTTCTCACTGAAAAGTGATTGTTGGTGCTGCTTGCAAATTAAACATAAAAAAGATCGTTGTTGGAAAGAGAAAGAATTTCCCAACGCTAAGGAGCTTTGTTTCGACCAATGTCCAAAGCAGATTTAAAAACCGTTGATAAATCTAATTAATGTTTGTTGCTTATTCGATTTTAGCTTTTCCAAAACGTTCTTATTCAATAACAATGGTTTTTTATGACATCTATTTCGATTGATATTCTTCCTTTTATGTAATGAAATATCAACCAATTACATTTCTAAATAAAAACTTTATTTTTATAGGTGTTATAATCCAATTACAGTTGGCCACCAAATGGAAAAAACGGTTCCAATTTATGGAAATTAAACTAAATTACAAGTATATAATATTTAATTTGGATTGGGTTTGTTGGGCAAAAATAAAATAATTGTATAGTTTTAGCTTTGAGTCAACCTAATGGATCAATAGATTAATGAGAAAAGAAAAGAAAAAAAAAAAAGAATTCAATCATAATGTTTTCGAATTTTTTGGAAAGCTTATACGATGGAATCGGAGACGATGACGACGCCGCCGACGACGACGAAGACAACAACAACGAGAACACCCCGAAATCCTCAACGGAAAGACACGATTTCGAGAGAAACGCCGTTCGTTTGTCACCGGAAGAGGAGGCTCAAGCGCGTGGTGTTAAAGATGATTTGACGGAACTTGGTCATATCCTCTCGCGTCAATTTCGTGGTGTGGCTAACTTTCTCGCTCCGTTACCAGATGGATCTTCTTCCTCCGATCTATCAAACCATCCTAGATTTAACCAATCTCGGTCTTCAGATTTTGAATCGAATCAATCGCGGTCTTCGGATCTTAAACTGTATCAATCTCGGTCTTCAGATCGGGACGATTCGTGTATTGGAAGTGATACGCCGGAGACTGGAATTAGGTTTAGGAGCTGGGATTTGGAAGAAAAAGTGGTAGAAGGCAATGATCCGGAGGAGGAAGAAGAAGAAGAAACAGAAGACGAAGAAGAAGAGGAAGAGATCGCTGCGGTTGCTCTTACCGACGAAGTGCTAGCATTTGCGAGGAACATAGCAATGCATCCAGAAACTTGGTTGGATTTTCCTCTTGATCCTGACGAAGATCTTGATGGTAACGTATACATTGAGTCAATTTCGGATTGAATAAAAATGATTGTTGGAATTTCAAAAGTCAAGTTAGTCTTCATTGATTTGACTTATAGGTATATCAAAGGTTTGATTATTTCAACTTTTATCTATTGTAGATTTGGAAATGACTGATGCTCAAAGAGGTCATGCTTTAGCTATTGAGCGTCTTGCTCCAAGGTTAGCTGCATTGAGAATAGAGCTTTGTCCATGTCATATGAGTGTTGGTTACTTCTGGAAAGTCTATTTTGTTCTTCTTCTTTCAAGGCTCAATAAACACGATGCTCATCTTTTGTCTTCTCCACAGGTAAAAAACCTCAATCTCTTCTTGAGTCAAAATGATTGTTGTTGTTGTTGTTGTTATTCAACAAAATCCTTTTGCTTTTGCAGGTGATGGAAGCAAGAGCATTGTGGATGAAAGAGCTTCAGAATCAGACTCATTCTTCAAAAGAAAGTAGAGATAAGATTCTTGAGGAAGATATTACACCATCAACTTCAAATTATTACAACCATGCTCCTCCTGAGTTTCTTTCTCCAAGAATATATGCTTTTGAACCTCCTTCGATTATGTATCGCGATTATGAGCATGGGTCTGAAAACGCTCAGTTTATCGATAAAGCTGTTATCGAGGAAAAACCAATCCAGAAGAACGACAAAAATAGTGCAAGCCTTAGCCAAACATCTAAAGATGTTGATGATGATGATGATGATTGGCCAGACGAAGAAGATTCTGCTAATTCTTGGGCTCCAATGTTCACAGTGAATGAGGATGATGTTTCTTTCAGTGATTTAGAAGGAGACGACGATATAAGTAGCTTAGCACTCAAGTCTAAGATTACATCAAAGGGCACAGACCAAAAAGGAACATGAACCATCATCTGGCTTGTTGCATTGCCCTGCCTCACGAGATCGAATCAATAGAACTGAACATAAGGAATGTGTGCTGAGTCAAATCGTGGAAGTTATTTGGGTGAGTTTGATTGTTTGTGGATTTATGATGTTTGCTCTCAAAGAGAAGGAAGAAAGAAAGAAAAAGGTTTTGATTGAAACATGTACAGAAGATTTACTTTGATCACTGCAATTTCATTGTATTGTTCTCTCTCGCCAAATGTAATGAAATATTGAAAAGCACCAAATGATAAACTAGATGAAATGTGTTTAGTATATGATTGATAGTTAATTGTGCATCTCAAAGATCTTAATTGGCCAGTGAAACATACTTTAGACAATTGTAAGAAGATCACAACATAAGTTAGTAGACCCAAATTAAACACTTTGATTTATTGATGATCCAATATGAGCATTGATTGGCTGGATTTTTTTTAGTATCCAAAATATTTTAACTCTTGAGTTGTGTACTCAAAAATAATGACTGCGAGTAAGATTGCTAATACGATGCCGTTTCTTCGAATAACGCGAAGCTGAATTTAATAAGCTACACTTTTTTTTTTTTTTTTTTCTCTCATCGGTTTTATGTTGTGTGTGTGTGTCTGTCTGGAACCAGAACCAATTCGTCAGATCGTGAATAATAGACTTTATCGACGAACCACCAGTCAGCTGCTGCAGATGATCTTAGCTCCTTCTTCTTCTCGTTGATGTTGTTCCATCTTCTCCGGTGAAGCACACAATTCTTCAGATCTCGTTGGATTCAATAATCCGTCTGTTTGATCGGATCTGATTCACAGGGAGGGAAGAAAAAGAAGACCATGGCAGGGGCGGCCTCAGCGCTGTTTCTGCTCGATATCAAGGGTCGTGTTCTGGTGTGGCGCGATTACCGTGGCGATGTCACCGCTGCTCAAGCTGAGCGTTTCTTCACCAAACTCATTGAGAAAGAGGTTTCTCTCTTCCCATCTTTGCTTTCTAGATTTGCCGATTTCGTGTTTGTTTCTGTTTTCAAATGCTTGATTTGGTACTTGGTTGATTTGAAATGGAAACAGTAATTCCAACCATGGATTCAATTTCCATCTGTGGGAGATTCGCCTATAGAATTCCAAAGTGTTCTAAGCAACAGTTGTACTTTTTTCGCCGTAATAGAATTCTAAGATAGTGATGGATTCGTATCTGCCTTTGCGATCTGATGCCACTGCTCCTTCTGAGATTCTTGTGATTTTAGGAAACGCAAGTTTGAACATTTGGAACTAATGAACAAGCTTGATCAGTGCTTATAGGATTCGATTTGGATTAGAATTTGATCAGAATCGTTATACTTATGACTAAATGAGTAGTGATTTCTTTGCGGGTAATTTTTCAGGGTGATTCACAGTCAAATGATCCGGTTGCTTACGATAATGGGGTGACCTACATGTTTGTACAGCATAGTAACATTTACCTCATGATAGCGTCCAGGCAGAACTGTAATGCTGCCAGTCTTCTCTTCTTCTTGCATCGCGTTGTCGATGTAAGCATCCCTAGTGATACCGTTTTTGCATTTCCATCTGTTTTCCGGATTGGAGGAAAATGAACGGCTCTGTTTTATATGTTACAACCGTCTTTACGTGTTTCTTATACTGATTGTAGGTCTTCAAACATTACTTCGAGGAGTTAGAGGAAGAATCTTTGAGAGATAACTTTGTGGTGGTGGTAAGTTAATGCTTCTCCCATCTGTTACACTTTTTTTGATGATATATATTGTTTTCTCTCTTGCATGAGGTGGATATGTGTGGGCGAAAGTTATTTCTAAAACTAGGTGCTGAAATTTACTTATGTTACTGGCAGTATGAGTTACTTGACGAGATGATGGACTTTGGTTACCCTCAGTATACTGAGGCAAGAATCCTTAGTGAATTCATCAAGACTGATGCATATAGAATGGAAGTTACACAGAGACCTCCAATGGCTGTCACTAATGCTGTCTCATGGAGGAGTGAGGGGTTACAGTTTAAGAAAAACGAAGTAGGTGCTCAGTTTTCAAGCAGGGAACATTTTACTTTTCAATTGTTTTGAGTTTTCAAATGTTTACTGACTGATGTTTTGTTTTCCAGGTTTTCTTGGATGTAATAGAGAGTGTAAATATCCTTGTGAACAGTAATGGGCAAATTGTCAGGTCTGATGTCGTTGGAGCGTTGAAGATGCGAACATACTTGAGGTGAGTTCTCTAGTCAACCAAAGCATTTTAGATCAAAACAAAAGTCCCTCCTCTTTGACTCTCTGCTTCTTAATCCATGTTATTACAGTGGAATGCCAGAGTGTAAGCTAGGCTTGAATGATAGAGTATTGTTGGAGGCACAGGGACGAGCAACAAAAGGAAAAGCCATTGATTTGGAGGACATCAAATTTCATCAGTACGTTAGTCTCTTGCAACTCCAAACATTCCCTGACAATTACTTTATCGAGGCCGAATTTTTTACTAACTCGAAAAATTATTTAATACTTGAGTTTTTACATGTCTCTTTCTTCAAAATGTAGGTGTGTTCGATTAGCCCGTTTTGAGAACGACAGGACAATATCTTTCATACCACCTGATGGATCTTTTGATCTAATGACGTATAGACTCAGTACTCAGGTTTGGAATGTGGAATATTGCACAAATGGTTTTGTCCCCTTCTTAAACGAATTAAATCTCATGATATATCTTATTTTCACAAAATACTTGTTCAGGTAAAGCCTCTTATATGGGTGGAAGCGCAAATAGAGAGGCATTCAAGAAGTCGTGTTGAGATGCTAGTAAAAGCTAGAAGCCAATTCAAGGAAAGAAGGTAAGTGATAATCACTGTGTGACTTTACGTTTTAACCATTACCTTAAATCATTTAACACGTTTTGATAAGAGTTCCTTACTCTGCAGCACTGCAACAAATGTTGAGATTGAGTTGCCTGTACCAACCGATGCATCTAACCCCAATGTAAGAACATCTCTTGGGTCTGCCGCATATGCTCCCGAAAAAGATGCACTGGTCTGGAAAATCAAATCTTTCCCAGGGAACAAGGTAAGTTCTTATAGTTTAATGTAACACTTGACCATGTAAAGTTGAATGCTTACATTAAGTTTTGAAAAATGTAGGAGTATATGTTGAGAGCAGAGTTCCATCTTCCAAGTATAACCGCAGAGGAAGCAACGCCTGAGCGAAAAGCTCCAATCCGTGTCAAATTCGAGATCCCATACTTCACAGTTTCAGGAATACAGGTCGGTATTGCTCACAGTGATCAGTTTTTGTCATATATGTCGCATTCTTTCTATATTACTGCATTGAAATCTGAAGGCAAAACCTGATGCGTGTTAATTATGGGTATTGCAGGTTCGATACCTGAAGATCATTGAGAAGAGTGGTTACCAAGCTCTTCCATGGGTGAGATATATAACCATGGCTGGTGAGTACGAACTGAGACTCATTTAATATGAGATCTGTTTTTGTTTTTACTTTTATTTAAGTCATTGTCAACGACACAAAGCAGAGGAAAGATCAATGAAAAAAGGGAAAAAGATTAAAATATTTTAGCCGATGGAACTTGCGGTGAAGGTCGTTTTAGAAGCCATATTCTTGTGAATTGTTTTATGGTGTCCTCGTTTCTTTTCCTTTTTTCTGTAAGCTATTTAAGACACATATATTGGGTTACAATTGTTAAACATCGAGTTTTTTTTTGGTTCTTTCCGTTCGATTCTGTGTGTGTCCATTGCCACGGAAGGAAACGGCATGCAGTTTGGGTGACTATACCAAGAATGGCGTGCAGTTTTTGCTACCTTTTTCCTTCTATTTTGGAAACAAGTAGAATAACCATAATTATAATTTTGATTTCGTTTTAAAAATGAATTTTTGATAGAACAGTTAAATTAAACTAAATTGATTCCTCAATTATTGTATTATTTTGTAAAATCATTGAACAAAATGAAAGATAATTTCTTAAAAACATCCTTGGTGGTGGTACTTGCAGCACTAGAGTAGCAGAGTCTGACTTTAGTGGATAAGGACTATGCATGAAAGAATAAAAAGTCTGAAGTCTGAACAAACATATGTTATGTTCGTCCTGTGTGATGATGATATTAAAATCTTACATGTTGCTCTACGTTGAATTGAATTAAATGAAGTGATAAAAAGTCATATGAGATGTGGAAGTTTCACTTCTTTTTGTCTGCTAATTTAGCCTTTTAATAATAAATTTAATTTGAAATTGACAAATATTTTCATATAAAATGGAATGTTCGTCACTACAACCATTCTTACACAATCTTCATCTTATTTTTTCTTTGGTATTTGTTTCTTCCTACTTTTTTCAACCTTTGGTTATATACTTAGTCATTTACAAGATCTGTGAGAACAAATACATTAAGAGTAGCGACATATAAGAAATCTCTACAAGCTCTGCGACCAAGGGTTCTAACCGTCTAAGTGGTCAGTACCTTTGCTGGCAGAGCTTCTAAAGATGTCTTCTTTAAATCTGAATGTCCAAAGCATTCTAAGACTTTTCATATGGAAATAGATTCATTCGGCAACATACTGTAGCCTTCTGTGGAACAAAGTCACTTTACGTGGCACGTCGACAGCCGAAAAATCGAGTAGAAGCTATCATTCCTTATGCTAAAGACGTCACTAACTCTTTTTGGTATAACGAATGTTAGTTTCTTCTCTGATTCTTTTGTTGTTGATGTGCCACTTAAAGTGGACTTTGTTCCAGGGATTGCTACGATGTGTTGGGCCAATCTTTTTCCCATATGAAACTCTTAAGAATGGAGAAGAAAGGAGGAATAGCTTCGGTTGTTGCTAGTTGTTCGACCCATCCGCTACATCTCCTCAAGGTCCGTATGCAGCTCAAAGGCGATTCCAACCCGCTTTTGCCTTCCATTCCACGTCTCCTCTGCTTCTGTCCACGCGCCTCTTTCTCCGCGTGTGGGCATAATCGATGTATAATCCGTCAAGAAGCAGTGTGTGCTCTGTTCCCGTAAGAGTTCAGTATATAAATAACATTTTTTTCTACTAAGAACCTGACTTGTATCAGGGAATTGGATGAGGCAGTAGAGCAACATGACGAACTAAAAATATTATAAATTTCAAAATGAAAGGTATGTTTTATAGTACAACAAATCGAGAGGAGGACAAGAAGAACAATGAATATTCTGTATTAGTAATAAATAGCCTAAAAACAACTTAAGCCCTCAACATATCAACCCTAAACAATTTTTTTTTTTAAGATCAATGTACAAAGTTGTTTTTTCTGGGTGATGAACGAGGAGAAGGAGACTGATTGGGGAGAGACTGAGGAATCTTTCTAAAAACATGTTTCCTGCAGCGTTGGAAGATACTGTCGTATATCAGATCAAACTGAACTCCAGCTCTCTCTCTGTTCACTATGAACATTATGTGATCTGCTTCCACTATCTTATAATACCTGCAACAACAAAATACATTCACTTTTCTCAATCCATCAATGTCTACTCTATGCCATTTGTTCAAATATGATTCACTAACCAGATCCCGGGTTGTAATGTTTGACATTCCGAATCGCTCCTTATGAACCGGCTCGGATGCTCAACAGGTAGCCTCGGATGTGTCATTGATATTGTGTTCAATGCCCCGTCGTTCTCTTGCCAGTCCTCATCCCTTCAGTCAAACACATTTTTTCTTAGATCAATGCAGCTACTTCGCAACGTTTAAGCACGCAATGAACAAAAGATTGATCAAGTGCTTCAAGAATGAATCTTAAAGTTTGAATCTTTTTGGGTATTGTGTTACCTGTAGCCTTTATAAGGAGGAGATACATCTTGTGGGAATTTCCATTGGCTCATCTGAAAAACGCGGAGGAAGAGCATCGGGTGGATTCCAAGAACACCTGAAGGGATTGTCATACCCATGACTCTGCGGGTGCGTTTAGTCGCATAGCTGAAGTAGTAAGTGTTTGGGAACGTCTGGAGATTGGAGTTAATACTTGTTGAGCCTTGGATCGTGAGATCAGGTAAGATCCAATCGCCGGAAGCAAAAGGACCTGCGTTTCCCATAAGGCAATCAACGAGACCTCTCACACCGGATTTCTTCCAAGAAATGTTGAAGTGATCGAACCCGAAATTGTAATAAGTCTTTAGCCATGAAATGTCCAACCAATCATACATTATCACGCCTATACGACACAGCTGCAAAAGACATATCGGTTTCATGCTCACTCCATCATCTGTCCTGTAACAGCAAAAATAAGAATCAACAATCAGGATAAAAGATCTTGGTTTTCTAATACAAGAACATACATTTGCTTCGAAGATCAAACCTTACTTCAAAATGCAGAAATGAGAACATTCCAATCCATCATAAAGATCCATTTAAATACCCAAAAGAATTGAAAATGTCAGAATGCAAACTAACCGCATGCCATCTAAGTAAGTCCTGGTAGTTCCATTGAATGCCCCGGATAACGAAGTCACACTCAGAACCCAATCCTCACTAGTTTCTTCAAACCCTTCAAATGCCTAAACATCACAGTTTGAGACATATGTGTGAGCATCAATCATCAAATAAAGCTTTTAAACCAGAAGATATTCTTTCATTAAAAGAAGGATTCAACACAAACCTTATCTGCAAGCATTTGCTGCAACACACGCACAACTTGCGCACCCGCTGAATGTCCCACAAAATGAATAGGATGATCCTCATCCCATTCAGGGTATTGCCCTAAAAAACATACCAAAGTCAGATTTACATTCTAAATGAAACATTTGCGTACATTAGTCTCTTCCAATGAGCATTCAGATCAAAATCTAACCTTCTTCGTATCTTCTTCCAAACCGAGAATGTCCACAAGCCTCGCTATGCTCTTCACCAAAATCAACTATCCCTCCTTTCAAGTAATAGAACAATTCCCTTGCCCTGGAAACCAATGTTATCATCAGCAAAATGCACACATGATATATCAAAATCACTAAATCCTAGGAGGTGCAAAAATGAATCCAATACCTATCATAGATGCTTGTTAGGGATCCCAAATCAGGAACGAGAACCCTCTCATCTTTCTTCTCAGCACCACCAAAGTAAGATAAGCCTCCTAATCTCTGCTCAACCAAAACAATAAGATCTCAAACCTCAAAACAAAGAATCTAACAAACAAAAGTACCAATTTTGAGTTGTAGTTTTTGCATTACCCCTTTGCCAAATCCAAAGATCCCATGAACCAACACAATTGGAGGCAAACCCTCAACATTGCTTTGATTTTGACCAGTTTCTCCAACGTCGTTGAAATCGACATTGGACTTAAACAAGTAATCATTCAACGTCTGAGAGATATCTCCGGCAACAGCGGAGCTAAATATATAAAACCCATAAAGCAAATGCACAAGAGAGCTCACAAAGAGCTCCGCGAGTTGAAGAGAAGTCACCATCCACAACTTTATCATCTTCTTCTTCTTCCCACAAGAATCAAAATCGGAGATTTAATAAGCAAAATCGAGATAAAAGAATCTCCTTTATCCTAAAAAAAATGAAAAAAAATCAAAAACTCCCCGGAAGAGGGGAGACAAATACAGAGAGAGCCTTCTTTGAAAAGAACATAAAGGATGCTCCTTTGGCGAAAACCCAGAAAAGAAAAATTCGAAAACTTTGAATTTTCCCGAGAAAATAAAGGAAAATGCGTCGTCTCTCTCTTTTATCATCCAACAAAAAAACTTGTTATCCACTTGTATCTGCCCACCTCTCACCAAAACTAGAAAACAAATGAATTTTCAAAAATTGACAATCTTTTAAGCTAAATGACGCCATGTGTAACAGTGGTGACCTCTCCCTAATAAAAATTCCGAGTTTCCGCAATATTGTAATGTCAGGGCTCCACTACATTTTTGGGGAATATTTTTTAATAAAATAATACGGATTATTAGATTATTAAAACGGGAAAAAACCCGAAAAAATCCTCATTTATTTTTTATTTGGCCGTTTAATACCTCGGTTTATTTTTTTGGAACAAAAATACCTTAAATATTTATAGTTGCTAAAAAAATACCTCATCTTTTAATTGTTGATAGATTCCAACTCACGACTTAACATCCGTTAACGGACGTTACAAAATTATTTAACGGAGTTAAATTTTAACCTTACGTATTTATACTGCTATATATTATCCGATGTTAAACTTTCCATTTATGTTGTCCTCGTCTAGTGGCTATGCGTTAGCTTTGAAAGGCTTAACGCCAGGTTCGAATCTCTAACTTTGCTTTTAGATTTTTTTTTTTTTTTTTTTTTTTTTTTTCTGTGTCTTCCTCGACAACCACGAAACCCTAGCCGTCCACCTCCATGAATCGTCCGCCTCTTTTGCTTTCCTTGCCTCCTCTGCCTCTTTTGCTTTTTGATTTGATTGGATCCACATGTGATGATGCTCATGAATTGTTTCAATGATGATGATGCTCATGAAGGTTCAATGGATTTCTTTACAACAGAGTATGTGATTCAAGTAAAAAACTTCCCACAATCAATAAAATTAAATAGATCAGATGTTTTCGGTGGCTAGGACACGGAAAGCAGCAACGGAGTAATCGCCATCGGAGAGGAAGAAGTCGTCGTCACCACCGGTGAAGAAGACGAAGAACACACAAAAATTGAAAAAAAAAATTAAAAAACTAAAAGTGGAGATTCGAACCCGGGTCCTGTGGTTTACTAAACCCACGCGTTGCCACTAGACGAGGACAAAATAACCACAATGTTTTACAAATGGATAGTATATAACAGTATAAACACGTAAAGTTATAATTTAACACCGTTAAATGAATTCGTAACGTCCGTTAACGGATGTTAAGTCGTGGGTTGGAGTCTACCAATAATTAAAAGATGAGGTATATTTTTACCAACTATAAATATTTAAGGTATTTTTATTCCAAAAAAATAAACCGAGGTATTAAACGGCCAAATAAAAAATAGATGAGGGTTTTTTCGGGTTTTTAACGGATAAAACCAAAGATATTTGAGGAAATTGTGTGATTGGTTGAGAGAAACGGTGAAGTGGGCTGGATCGGCGCTGGAAGGTTCGTTCATAGAATCCGACCAATTCCCAACCAACTGTCTTCTGTAACCTTATCCATTTTAATCATAATGTTTTAGTCCACTTATTTTCGTTTCCACTTGTTCTAATTTGTTGCTAATTACACTATCGTTGACAAATTACGTGGATATATATGTGTTAAAATCTATTTATGGAATGGTAAGACTTTGTGGTTGACACATGTTTGTTGGCATATTTTTACATAAAACTTTTTAAAAATCATGATTAATCACATAACATAATCATATTGGAGAGTTAGCGTAATATCTGCGTTCAATATTAATTATATATACTTCAAAGACAAGTTTTACTATAAAATCCACGTATTAGTAAAACTTGTGATTTTGAAGTATATATAATTTTTTCATATTGGCATAATTTTGCGATAATGATATTGATAGATAGATTATGTATTATGTTTTCTGTCATTGTCGACAAACAGTACTCTTAATAAAAACAATGTTGTAACAGTATCCGCTAATTAATAAGGAATTTGAGATGTACAAAATGAACTACAAAGAAATTTAGATTTATGATTCTTTTATACATGAGGAATCATCAATTGGAAAAATTCCACAACAATATTGTTCATATTTTACTGAAAGATATAATGTTATTCATATCTTTACTTAACAAAGTGATATTATCATATTTGCGTGAAAGATATATGCATGCAGACCAAAAAAAGAAAAGAAATGCAGCCTCATGTGGAGGTTAAAGATAATTTGGACTCTTTTGGCGCTGGAGAAGGTTTTCTGTATTGTTGAATTGGGGACTAATGCACATGGATTGCAGCTTCTTTCCTATATATATATATATATTTTTTTAATGTAGTTGTTAATTGGAACGTCCAAATTTAAATGACCAAAACTGGATAGTTGGTAAAGGTATCGGTAATAGATCCAAAATTTTATTTTCCTTTTTAGGCAAGAAACAATTGTCGTGCAAGAAAATTATGAGATTCAGAATACAGTTAAGTGGTGCAGTCGTTGAGGATTGTACTAGCTATAATATTCGGAAAATAAAGGTTAAATAATTTGTATTTTCATCTTCTTCCTTTTCTCGGATAACCTATCGAGTAGATAAATAAATCTTGAGATATTGCAACACCGGTCAAGTGCATTAATTAAAGACCTATGCTTATGGACTTTTATCTCCGATTCCCAAGACCGGAACAAAAAATGGGTCTAAATAAATAACGCTTTAAATATTGGAGAGCGGGCCAAAATCATTAAGGGTAATTAATGAAATATTAACGTTAGAGTATGGTCAAAAGAAAGTTTCACAATTTGGAAAATCCAGAGTCGTTGACTACACTAATTGGCAAGGAACAAGAGTTATTACTAAAGTCAAAAGAAAAGTCAAAAGGAAAGTAATATGTAAGGAAATCGGAAATCGGAAATCGGATGGATCCTCTCCCAGATTGATTACCATCCCTACCAATTTTGACCGTTCGTAATCGCTTCTTCCAAATTTGTAAAACTTCTAACAATATAAAAATCAAATTTTTTATTTCCTTAATTAATTCTATATGGTATATATATAGAAGAAGATATATATATATATATATATACCCCATTTTGGTAAAGTAAAAAAAGTTGACTATTGATATATACTATACCTTTTCAATATTACAGTCTATATATATATGTGACTATAAATTAAAGTCACATACTGTTGTTTAAAAAAGACAACTGAAACAAAAACAATAAAATTGCTCAAGACAAACAAAAGATGAAATAACAAACACTTCTCATCTCCATATTAATCTTCTCTTTCTTTGCTCTACATCAGTGTATGTAAAGAGCCTTTTTAACACTCACACATATATAAACAATTCTCTCTTTGTTTTCGTTATTGTCAATGTTTGGTTAATGATGGTGTAGTTTCAAATGTGTAGGCATGCAGATGGATGTTGGAGAAATAGAGGGCTCGAGCAAGATCTCTATTGGAAAGTGTGTCCCTGCCCAATGTGCAGTTAGTTTTTTCAAACGGGATTGTTGGTGTTGTTTTAGAGATCAAACTATGTGTTCGAAAACCCAAAAAGATTGCGAATCCAATCCCCGTTGTCCTCCTTTAAAGTTATAAACTTTTTGAAAATTAATGTACTGCTATGATATTTACAAGTTTATAATGTTTTACTATGTACTCTTTATTCACAACTACAATGCTTTACTCAGTATAAGAACGATCTACAATATAACCTGACTGCACTACCCTGGCAATGTACGACCTTAATTAAATTTTATTTTTAAGAGACCAAACAAGCTAAAATGAATATGTACATGTTGCTATAGTTTGATATAAAATATAGTTTAATATAAAAATTTACCAGCTTAATAAATCAACATACATATAAAATAAGTAGAGTTTAAAACTAAACTTCTTGAATCTCGAAACCTAAAAATGTAATTTATACTTAGTTCTTATTATCATTTTTTAAACATCATTTCTTATTATCATTTTTTTTTACATCATTTCTTAAAATCACTTGATTTATTTAAATAATAATTAATGACAGTATATACTCTACCTTTTTGAGATGATGAACAATATATTTAAGAATGGATTTCATTCCAATTTATGCTTATCTAATTTAACCTTTTTTTAAGAAAATAATGGGTTATCTAATTTAAGCTTATCTATATTCTATATATATTTACTAACCTTTGTTTTTTACAGAACTCATATAGATAACTAAAAAAAAAGCACAAAATTAAACAATAAGACAACCAAATCATGAAATCATCACATACGTCTCTCATCTGCATACTCATGCTCTCTGTCTTTGCTCTACATCAATGTATGTATATATACGTTTTCTCATATATATAAATATACTGTTTATTTAAATTTTTTTTAATTCATCAAAGTTGGGTTGATGTGTGTTTCAAATCAATGCGTAGGTGTGAGGATGGAGGCTAGAGAGATAGAAAGGTGGAACAAAATCTATATACCGACATGTTTTCATGTTAATTGCGACCCTACTTTCAGTTTGAAAAGAGACTGTTATTGCTGCGGAACAGCCATAGATCAATGCTATGACGACCAACAATATTGCAACGCCCATTGTCCTCCTCCTAAAGTTTAAAACCTTTGATAAACCGATGTACAACGTAGCATCTTTCTAATGCTTAATTGAACTACTTCTCATTATATTATACTTTTTGCTTCAATTTAAATAAGAACGTTCCATATAATTATCTTTAAATAAATAAATAAACAAACTATATATTCATTAAAAACAAACAACATTACTCTTACCAAAAAAGAAAAACAAACAACATTACAAAGCTTAAGAGGCTCAAAAGCCACACGGCCCTGCGGCAGGAAAAACAACAGATATTTCTTGCGCCAAGGAAACCTGAAGACAAACCTAATACAGAACAAAAAGAAACAGAACCTAAGATTTAAAATTCTGCATATAATTATCTTAATTCTCTTTATAATATGAATTTGATTGCATTTTACAAAGATTTGATACAAACTACTAAGTTGATCACCAGTTAAACTGACATAAAGTTAAAAAGAGACTGTTATTTATGCTTTAACAAAAAAGAGACTGTTATTTATGCCCGTCAGTAAAAGATCTTTGCTGGAAAGACCAAAACTATTGCAACACCCATTGTCCTCCTCACTTTTAAAACCTTCAGTAAACTGATATATGTACAACCAACCATTCTTATAATGCGTAATTGTACCATTATATTACTATTTGCTTCAATCAGAATAAGATCGTTCTTTGTCATTGATTCTCTATAATTAACGTGAATTTGATTGCATTTTCTATCGATTTGGTATAAACTACTAAATTAACCAAGTAAAGAAAATAAGAAAAGTAAATAACTTTTGAATTATCAAGATGAGAGGTATAAACATAGTAAGCCAATAATGAAGGGCTAAAATGTAAAACTTTTTATTTTCAATTTATGAAAACAGTTGGAAAGAAGTTGGTAATAATAGACTACCATGGGAAATAAGTAAAAGAATTTTCACAAAAGTTCTAATAGTTTGATCCATACTTAATTAACCTAAATCTTTTATACAATTATCTTAATTAGGTTTGAAATCACATGGTTTTTATATTGCCTCTTTGATATATACAAACAAATGAATAAGAAATAAAAAATTTAAGAGTAAAATAAAAAGGTTAAGTCTATATAATATAGAGAGGATATACACATTTTAGAAAAAGGAAAATTACTTGACTAATTTAAATAATATTTAATGAAAGCATATACTTTATCTTTTTAAGATGCATGGTGTGAAACAATATATGTAAGAAGAGTTTTCATTTCAATTTTACAGTCTCTATATATATGACTATAAAGTAAAAGTCACATAATGTATTGAACTAAGACAACAAAAGAAGAGTCAGAAGATTGTTTAAGACAAATAAACAATGAAATCAGAGACAGCTCTCATCTGCATATTCATGTTTTCCCTCTTTGTTCAACATCAGTGTATGTATAGGTTTCTTCGTATATATAACAATTATTTCTTTGTTATTTCATTTTCAATTTTACTTAATGACGTGTTGTTTCAAATATGTAGGCATGCAGATGGATGTTAGAGATATAAAGAATTCGAGCAAGTTCTATATACCACCGTGTGGCCCTGCCCAATGTGGTAAACTTTTCTATAAATGGTCTTGTTGGTGCTGTATGAGAAATCCAAAGCTTTGTACGAAATACCAAAAAGATTGTGATTCCGATCCCCGTTGTCCTCGTATAAGTTTAGAAAACTAATGTAGTGCTATGACTGTTTATTCATTTTTGCATTGGTTTAACTAATAAAAGAACTATATATATATATCTATACTATTATTTGGATTCTATATCTATATGAAATGTGAATTTTATTATAACCACTATATATTACCGACAAATAAGACCAAGGTTGATAGAACAAAAAATTATTTTTTGAATATTCAGCTACAAATTCTCAACTTTAAACCAATTTTGGACGAACCAAACCCAAAATTGTGGAAATATATGTTTATTACATAAAAACTTATATGCTTTGCTTGATTAATTCCATAAAAAAAATGGGGTCTCAACTCCAATACCGCATAGAAATGGTGTCAAATACGGCAAAAGTTTTCATTATAAACTGATGTACAAATACTTATTCAAACCTCAGAGTTTTCTAAGCATTCGTATAATGCTTAATTGTACCATGCACTTTTCTTAATTTTCACATATACGAATTAGGTAAGCAATGATACTAACTACTAAAGAATTGTAACTAAAAAAATTTAACAGTTGCTTATGGATGAATTCTTGTCGATAGAATTTCTACATTTTTTCTCCAATATATTTTTCACATTTACACATAAAAATGAACAAGATTTTTTAAAAACTAATAAATGATGAAAGTAGCCCTTATAAGCAGATATAACCTAAAGAATTTTTCACGAAAAATATGGATACCTAAACCCTAATTAGAATTTTCTTTAAGGGCATTTAGGATTCTTCCCTGGTCCACCATAATAAAAATAACTCCCCCAAGCCCGATTAGACCCACCTTGAATATCGTAACAATTCGGATGATCCGCAAGTACTCGAAGATTAGGTGAAGGGACCAAATTGTTATCCCAATCAACTACTTGGATGTTTCTGAAATAAGAAGATTTTGTAAACCCTTCCTCTGCAAAATGTCCACTTCCCATTTGTGTCGAAGTGTGGGCTCCAAAAGGACTTGAATTTACAATTTCGCCACCGTATTGGACCATGCTTGCGTGCTCCTTCAGGTGTGTGAACAAAAACGATGGCCAATACCCGACTAGTATACCCGACCCGAATTCCAGCCACCAATTCCCATGCTTCGGATCCTGATATTTAATTTATTAAACACACATAAAATAATTAAACCTTTATGATAATTTGAAAATATAGCTAGATTCCTAAATCACTCACCGAATAACTCTTAATATTTTATTTTTCCGAATAACTAAATTTACTTATAATATTTTTTCATCAAACCCTACTTTCGTTAACAGTGTTTGACCGGCAACGTAGTTTATCTAATATGCATCGAACAAATCATGTATTCAGTGAACATTAACTTAGATGATTTTTAATGCACCTGACAATAAAGAATAGATGGTTTAATCTGTGTTTGCCTCTATAAAAATAGAACTAAGCATGCCTTTAATTATGACCCATGTGAAGCTAGATAGAGAAAATAAATAGTACTATTAATTTGATAACTGATGAGCCTGCTCCTAGCATTGCTTTGAGAGCTGGTATGTTGAACTATTTGGGGACAAATGTATCAAAGAATGAAAAAAGAATAACTTAGAACAAAAGTAAAGAGTTGTAATAAGTGGTATGATACTCAAGTATACTTCTCTTTTTTCTTAAAAATGATTAAAAACAAAAAGGGGAAAAGATAGAGCATCTTCTAATTAAAGCATATGCAATGGATTTTTTTTTAATGTACTGTATGCCCAATTTTCAAAGGTACAAATGAATATTGTAATTAAAGTGTGTTTAGAGGAGATGAGATTTTGATTTGTAAATTAGAGAGTTCAATTGTACCTTCCAAATAAGCAGAGTAATATCGAATTGTCCACCCTTGTAGGAAGACGATGGAGAGATTGCAGCTCCAATCGCAATCTCACTATTGGTTTGGACAAAACCGGAACACAAGAGATTGTAGCAACCGGTTGCTTGATATGCATCGTTCTGTCTCCAAAAAAAAAAAAAAACTAATTAATAATAAACTTTACTATATATAATTTAAATACAAAAGGCAAAATTATCATTAAGAAAAAAAAGAAAGGCTTGACATTGGAATTACTCACAGTCCAGTAAGTAAAGAATCTTGGGTAATTATCTCCATAGAGCTCTGGACTCACCTAATGGCAAATGAATTATCCAAATTAGCAATCGATAAATCTTAAAATATAACCTAATATTAGTCTATTTTATTATGATAGTAAGATTGTTTTTCCAAATTAAATTACTAGAAAATAAAGAAAGAAATATATAAGAAAAAAGTTACCTGCCAGCCAGCTTCAATGGTGTTGAGATCATTACCAAAGGAACCAGAGATAATCCAAATCTGAGATAAACTAAATTCGTATTGGTTCTGCACTTGTGGAGCCCAAACATTGATGCTTGCTTTAGCACCATAGTATTTCTCTCCGCTCACGTATCCCACCGCGTGCTATACTCAGTCATTAACACATCCGAATATTAAAATTTTTATCCCTTAGTTAGAGTAAGATAAGAGTATACTCAAAAGTATGTTTCTGCAACTGCAAGTTGAGTATTTTAGAAACTTGGCAGAGCTATATTTACGTGAGAGTTTGTGTTTTCCAAATCTAGTTAACTAATGATTTTATATTATTATATAATATGTGATATATTCTGGGAAAATATAAATTTGCTGACAGGATGTAGAAGAGGATTAATCATCAATCAAAAGAAGTTTTTTTTTTTTTTTTTTACCGACAAGCTGCTCTATCTTTCTTTTTTCCACAATTCTCAAAAGAGATGAAATTTTAAAACTGAAAAAAAGAAAGTGAAAACACTTGCCAATTTCGTTGACCACTTTTGTATCTTCTCGTCCAAAGAGGCAAAAGATAGTAAATAAATAAAAACTTCATCGATTTCAAAATCTTACATATTCATACCAAGAATTCGAATTTCGAATTTATAAACACTCCGGACAAAAAATCTTTCTCTTTAGAATGTTACGTATAGTATAGGTGGACCAAAGATCTATCTCTTTCTTTTTTTTGGGTCTAAATTTTAATTTTCTTGGTAAAAATATTTGTTTAGGTTTTCAAATTGGACCCATATGACTATTGTTCACTTTAAGAAAAAAAAGAAAAAAAAAGGAGAAGATGAAAATCTTACTTCATGGCCATTACTGCTAGTGTCTCTTCTGTAATGTCTGAGTTTCTTGCCAAAGCTAGAAACAGAGTTTGCTCTGAGAATGTCTTCTTCTTTTGTTCTTCTGATAGGGACTGTTCCTTCAGAACATGTCTCTCCCTCCATTCCCCATAACTGGAAACTCTTTGGTCTCAATCCTCTCCTGTTATGCCCTCCTGGCCTCTCAGGAGGATCCTTCAGTAATTTAGTTCACAGCTGAATTAGTTTTATCATTAACGGGTCTAATGACTATGTTTATAAAGATTAACGTATGGTATGCGTACCAGTGGCTTCTGTCCTCTTAATCTGGGATGATCAAATGCTGGTTGGTGATGTAATAAAACACAGTCTATGATGTCACCATCAGGACTCTGCAACAATAAAACAGAGTATGTTCTTGAAACAATCAAAAACAGAGCGAGTTCTTGAAACAGAGCATAATGAATTAGAAACAGAGTAAGAAAGTGTTTTCTTTTGTTTTTTTTTCTGAGACAGAGGAAGAAGATTCCGTTTCTGAAAGAGAAAGAAAAAAGAAGATTGCGTACGATAATTCTCATTACACTTACATGAATTGTCTTGATTGAAGGTTTATTGATCTTCCTGAGATGTTGATTAATGGCTTTGAGCTTATTAAGCTCCTCGAGTGGCCTGAGAGTTTGGTTTCTCGGGGAGAGATTCTCGGACAAGACAGAGGAAAAAGAAGAAGACAAGAGAAGAAGAGAGAGGAAAAGAATGTTGGAGGAACAAGTACGAAACAAAAGGATCATATCTAAGAAGAAGCTTCTCCCTCTTCTTCTTCTTCCTCGTCTTCTTTCTCTTGTTATCATTCTTGTTTCTTCTGAGAACAACTCTGTTTCCGTTTGTCTCATTGTATTGCATCGATCGAAACAACGGCATTTATTGCCGTTTCTGGGTTTCCTCAACACGAACACACCTCCCATTAAAACCCAAAACGTTTTCTTGATATTAAAGAATGAGCAAGTGAGCAAAAGAAGACAAAAACCCTTGATTTTTAAAATCTTCTCAAGCTCTCACCAGTTCCAAAGCTATTGAAGCTAAATTTCTTCATCACAAACCCAAATAAAGAATCAAGAAAACACTCTTATGTCTTCTTGGGGGCTTATGTTAACAAGAAAGAGAGCGAGGTAGAGGAGAATTATTAAAAGGGGTTAATGGAATTGTGGTGTCTTAAAGTAATAGTCTAAATGTTTATATGTGTCTTGTGTTGGTGTTATAAGTACTTGGGTAAGTGATGAAATCATTCATGCCTTTGTTTTCTTTAACCTCCAAGAATACAGAGGAACCAATAATAAAATAAAAATGACAAAATCATAAAAGCCCACTGACATAAAGTGACGCATAAAGTGACTAAGCAAAATCTAACTACAATGCTTTTCCCTTTTTTTTTTTGTTGGTCCATGGCTTAAGAAAATGAGTATGCACACTTCCTCCTTAAATCACCTATTAAAACCTAGAATATAGAAACTGGCTTAGTTAAAACAGAGGTTGAGAAATTATTTAGTCTAAATGTCTCATGTGTTAATGAAGGAGAGAGGTTACAAATGGTAATCTCTTTAAAAAATTTATCAATCCTTTTCAAATTATGTATGTATTTTACCTGTTATATCGGAATTTATCCTAAAATGAAATCTGTTAATAAGTAAATTCTATGTCAATTAAAAAAAAGTGTAGATGGACCATACCTAATAGTAGACCTGAAACCTTAGTTTGGACCCGTAGGATTGATGCTATATTGATTATCACATAGTCCTCAAATGTTATTTTTAATAAGAATATGCAAAAATTAAATGCAACATGTAGTTTATAAGTGAAATCAAATTAATATAAGTTGGTCAAAAGAGAAAAAAAAAGTTGGGGGAGGGGAAATGTTCCCAATTAGCAATACAAAGCCTGAAACAATTTATGTTTGTGTGTGTGTGAGAATATATGTATATAGCCAAAGACAAAGGAAAGTCTTGTGTTTGCTGTGTTCCTTATGATAATGACAGTCAAAATTATGTGTTTCTTCTTCTTGTTTTATCTTGTGTTAGTTTGCGTTCTCTTTGCGTTAAAAAAAAAACATTTTTTTGTATCTTTTAAGAGACAAAAAGAGGAATTTGCAAATAATTTACTTTTTCTTATTGTTGATTCTTGAACTTCGCTTTTTTCTCTTTGCTCTCTTCCCTATATGTTCCTTCTGTCAGCTACTCTCTCCTTTTTTTTTTTCCTTTTTCTTTTACAACATTTTTTTAGAGAGCATTATATATTCATAAGATTTTAACTTCTACTTAAAAAAATGCAACATATAATTCAACAATTATGTGAAGAGTATGACTGGGTTAGTGGAAGAGTATAACAAAGTTTAGTGCTAATGCTAAAATAGATTAGATCATACTGTATTAATTTACTAAGGAGTTGTGTTAGGGACAGGGGAGTGTTGGCACGCGAGGCTGGGTATTCGCAATGCATGCTCGAGTGCTTATGTTGGGGACCCATCCATGCATGCCATGCCATCCTTAATTTATTCCCACCAATTATCATTACTTATTGCCCTCCCTTGATTATGCATGGTATACATTTTTTCAATAATATTTAAAACCTATACAGGATAAGGATTAAAAATAAAAATAATAATTTGAATAGGTACAGTTATATACTAGTAGTATTTACAAAATGGTAACGTATACAGTTTTCTGCATCATAGTTGTAGTAATCCATGATTCTATTGATATATTTCAACCATATCCATATGGACATGGACATGATAAAAAGATTCAATATGTGGCAAACATAAGTTTTTGATACTTCTCATCATAGCTTGTAGATATGCATGTAAACCTTCAAAATTTGAGATCTATTATATATGTGGCAGAACTTGAGATTCAAATTCCTAATCATATTAAAAAAAATTCTGATAAATTGATGAGAGTAAAGAACACAAAAGTGTTTAGGAAGAATTATAATAGACTCTCATAGATTAAAGGTATAAATTACATTCTCTTATATAGAGATGAGTTTTCTAATCTAAGATAAATATAAATGTAAATAATATATTTAGAGATAATGGTAAATATCCTAAACTAAGATATTAACAAATATCATGATCTTCTAGATTATTCTCGATCTTCATGATTTCCTTATTCTTGGGCTTCTCATCTCGACCGTCGATCTCGGTCGATCTCCGGTTCTCCCAATAAATTCCATAATCCATGTACCAAATAATGGTTTATTTAGAGATTCTTCCACATTTCCACCATTAGTGGATTCTTAAAAGAAGAGAAAACAACCTTAAACTTGATAGTTAAGCATTGAGTACGATGTACGAAAACCGATTATTCATTCTAATCCTTGTTTTATTTTGCGTAAATGTCAAAACCAACTCATTACCATATACTTATCGTGAATAGCACATTTTTTTCACGTATATGATTTTTTTTTATTGTGCATGCATACACTTAGGCCATACTAAGATACGAGATCGGTTATGATTTACCATTACTGCATAGTTGGATCATATGGTCAAACTGGTTGTGTGATCTTTGTGAATTATTGTGATTTCGTACACACATTTGAATTTGTAAGCTTTAAATGTCGTCGATATGCATTTCTATTATTAACTGAACTACTGCAGATATGGTGGTTGGCTTCAGAGAAGGTCATTCGCGAGATTCCAATACAAATATTAAATTAGTACAGACCAAAAATTGTGAAGAAATGTAGAAAACAAAGTCAAAGAGAGTGGTGGATGAAATGAATATGTATCATTTGGCAGTTAACTTAATATAGAAACAAAAAGAATCGCCTTCAATTGCATCCTATTTCGTGAAACTTGCCAAATTGCTGTCGTGTGTCAAAGCTTAACGAAAATTATTCAGGAAAAAAGGAAACATTAAATTAATCTTTTAACAATCTTGACTATAGTCTATAATTAACTTGCCTAAGTTCATTAGAATTGGAAATGAGTCACTAATTCACAAAAGCTAAACACTAAGTAATTCACAGAAGCTAAACATTAAGTAGTTTATTGCTCTGAAACGACAAGCAGTTTTCAGTTGCACTCAACTTCAAGAAGCAAAAGCTGGAGAAGCTTCAAACTCCAATAACAGTTTTTTTTTTTTAATTTATATCTTAGTGGTAATGCCAAATGTCTTTGTACTACACATTTTGTAATCGACTATATGCTTTATACTCTTTGCTTATAGAGAGCAAATAAGAAGTTTACTGGACAGAAAACGTAACGTGTACACAATGAGAAGTGGTCGGAGAATTTGATCACACTTGTGGCCGTGTTTGGACGACATAGAGCTTTCCATCTCTGATCACACCTTCAATGTCCTGAGCAGTTCCGTAGAGTTTCTCAATGGCATCTCCAGCGCGTGCAATGTCTGAGAGAATCTTTTTCTGGAAGCTCTCGTCAGTGATCAGAGGATCTGTTGTGTAATCGAGCACGACTTGGTCTTCCTCGTCCATTGGTACACTGCAAGAAAACGGAAGGAGAAGTTTCATTGTTGCTCAAGTGTTATTGAAATGATGAAATCAAGACAATGAGAAGAGGTTTTGGGTCTGTTTAATATTACCTGTCGTAGAGGCCTGCACCTGCATAACCTTCAAGATCTTCTCCATTGGAATCAGATCTGAAGATGATTGAACGTCTTATGAACAACCCAATCGGTTTGCTTGGGTAACCCAACACCTGAATGATGTTTTAATTTGCATCAGAATTCATGATTTAACGACAATATCCTATTCGCTATTTTTACACATAAAACACCAGTGGTAAGCTTCTAGTACCAGAGGCGAATCAAGGTTGTTTTTCTTGCAGATGAAACTCAGAGACCGACCGGGATATGCTCCTACAAGCGTTTCACCAAGGCCTTTCACAACCTGAAACCGAAAAAACAACAGTCAGGTGAGGTTGGAAGAAGCACCGGTTCATATAGGGTTAGAAGTTGGGATGAAGGGGGAACAAAGGTCTTTTACCTCAGCGTAAATCTCTGATGAATCTCCAGAAGATGGGTTAGTTGTGTGAATGACAAATGCGTAATCCGCATTGATGACTTCTTGGACCAAAACAGCCATGCAGAGATAGTCATGATCCAGTTTTACTTTCCTCGTGCTGAAGTATGCTCTCTCGTTCCATTTCGAAGCCCAGACCTGAGATTTACATAGCCGGTTTACGAGATTTGACATCTTCATGTTATGCAGCAATTCACCTTACTTCAAGATTTTACCTTTTTAATGGCTGCCCAAGCTTGCTCCCATCTCTGTTCACCTTCATCACCTGGCCATGGCATGTCAGAACTTTTCATAGTACTTTTCAGTTCTTCAACCTGAGACCAAAACCATTACAGAGGCACTTCTCTTAGCATATCTATACATTTCACTCCATTTCCACCAAGGGAATATTATCTTTTCCGAAAATATGCACTTTTATGAGAATTATAGGCATCAAGCTAATCCAGCATGAGGAAGGGAATATGGATAAACTAAAAGCAAAATGGTTTGGTGGTAGGGAATCAGGTCAAAGAACAGAGCTTTAGGGTCCGAATGTGAAATATAATGTGGTTTAGTATCATGTGTTGTAAAAAAAGAACAACCGCAACCCAGATTCGAAACAGTATGACGACAAACAATATGAACATACCAGTTCTGGGGGTGCAACTAGCCCCAACAGTGTCTGACGGATTTCCTTCAGAGCACCTTGGTCCCCCTCATCAAGAGTTTTCTTCAATACTAGCAATTTCTCGTTTACCGTCTGCCACATCCAAGGGGAGAGAGTGAGTGAGAAGTGAGGTTGGGTGAAGGTAATCTTAAAATTCAAAGTGAAAGAGATTATATTGGTTTTGACAGCATGATAGTCATGCACACTGAGGCACCAGGGCTTGTGAAGAGACCTCACGAAAGATATGTTCTAAGCAATTCCATATAAATCCTAAGAAGCATTGGAACTATCTCTACTCTAATGTCCCCAGACGAAGACCACCAGTAAAGAACAGATAAACCGTACAGGTAGCGAAAATTTAGCAAAGTGTCTTCAAATTTTTTAAAGCCAGATGAGTTGAGAGTGTCTACGATACCTGATTCGCCTTTTCGGAGATAACCTTCTCAAAAACACCAAATGGCAACGCAACTGAAGTTGGGATACCAACCCAAGAAGGAACTTTTCCTTTCAGATATCCGAT